ACCGAAAGTAAACCCTAACCAGAGCCGAAACCGGAACCGAAAATAAATAATAGTTTTTGTTTGCAAGTTTATTCCAATTAAAACACAAAGTTAAATTAATAAAAAATGATTAATAGCAGAATCCAACAACTGCAAGATTTTCTCGACAAAAAAGGAGTTTTTCCAAATTTTCTGGAAGGAGTCTGTTTCTTTCGTTAGATAGAATATCTCCAGCCGTAGAAAACAATCTTTCAACATCTGTGGATGTTGGGGGTGGTGTGAGGTACTTTTTTGCCACCTTAGTCAATGCTAACTTGATTTTGCTAGTCGCATTTTTTTCATAGTTTTTCCAAAATTCTAGGCAATGAGAAGCCATTGGACAATCCAAAAAATCCTTCAACACTTCCCTCGTCATTTTGGAAGATGAATGCTCATTTGGTCCTGTTTGAGACTGTGCAATAATTTTTGACATTATGTGCGAGAATGCCGTGTTTTTTTCATTGTTACCAGATGGAATTTGAGTAACAGGAGCCAATTCATCTTCAAGAGGTTCAAAATTCTCCATTTGGGACATGACAATGTGTTTGGCATTTTGCAAAGCAGCTTGAGATCGGAAAAAATACCATTTGTATTTTGGATTAAGTAAAGTAGCAACTGAATAATGTTCTGTTTTTTCAATTGCTGAAAAACACTTAAAATCCTCACCACTTTTTCATAGAGGCTCCAATCTTGGACGGAAAATTCAATTCCCACAGAAGGAAATTTGAGTAAGGTTGCAGCAATGGCTGGTTTCAGGTGTAAAATTCGCTTAAGCATGTAATAGGTAGAGTTCCATCTTGTGGCAACATCGTTTTTTAAGCCAAGTCTGTCTTTTCTATCCATTTGGATTTCTTGCTGTCTGTAAAGTTCAGTGTAGAAACCAATAGAATGGGATGCGTAAGAACAAAGTTTTCGACTCTTTTCAATCAGTTCGTTGATGGTAGGATCTGGTAATAGGTCTTTTTTTATCACAAGTTGAAGGGAGTGGTTAAGGCATCCAGCTGACTTATAATTACAGCTTGGCTCATTGAAGGCTGCTTTTACATTTGCTGCGTTGTCTCTTAAGCAAACTCCAATTTTTGAAGAAATTTCCCATTCCTCTGCTGCTGCTTTGATCTCTTTGAAAATATTTTTTGCAGTATGACTTTCATCAAATGGAGAACAAGAGATGCAGAATTTGACACAGTTCCAGTCTTTGGAAATAAAGTGAACAGTCATTCCCAGATAGCCATGATGAAATGATGACCATGCATCAAGGCAGACAGACACATTTTCAGCTTCTGATTGAACCAGCTTTTCCTTGAGAGCAACTTTAATTTTTTCGTAAGTCGGATCCAGTAAACTTCTGTAGTATTTTTCGCTAGCAATTTCGTAATTTGGAGCAATAAGAGCATGGTGCCTCAAAAATCCAGCATCATTGACAATAGACCATGGTTGGAGGTCAAGAATCATCATTTCAAAAATTGACTTGTGAAATTTTTGGCCTTTTTCAGAATTAGAGTCAATTTTTGAAGAAGCTTGAACCCAGTTTGGAATTGTAGATTGTAACATGTCGGATCTTTGTTTTTTTGATCGCATGTTGAAGATTGTAACTGCCTTTCTCTTGTTGGAATTTAAGTCAGCTTCTTCATTTGCCTTTGGATTTTCTGCTTTTTCGGGCGTAAGTTTGATGTCAGGATGATGATTCTTCAGGTGTGACGTGAGTCCACTTAATCCTTGTTTTTTTGGGTCGTCAGATCCTCTTGAAACTTTGCTGTTGCAGATTTTGCACTGAACCATTCTTGGATTGTTTGCTTCAATTATGAAGTACTTCCACACTAAACTTGTTTTTCGGTTTGAGCTCATTTTATTAGAATGAAATCGAAGAACTTAATCAGATGAGTTTTTTAATGTTGCTAGTTTGAGTCAAGAACAAGGATTTAAAATATAATTAACAAGTTCTTTGTTATTTATATTAATTATTAATTATATTAATTTGTATTAATATTGTTGTTAACTTAACAATATATATATATATATATATATTATATATATATATATATATATATATATATATATATATATATATATATATATATATATATATATATATATATATATATTTAAGAAAAATTTCTTACGTTACATTAAAAAGTTCAATACATTAAAAAGTTCGTTAAAAAGACAATTAACAATTTAAACGAGAAAACATTAAAAAAGTTATAACGACAAGAAAACATTATTGTTTTAATGTTTTAACGACGAGAAAACATTAAAACAACTTGCTTTAAAAAAATGAATGAAACCAATAAAAACTTTTTTAATTTATTTCAAACAAATTCCACGTGATAATTTAAAAAAAAATCACCAAGTTCGTAAAGATTTTACCGCTACCAATTCCATGCGATAATTAAAATAAATAAATAATCAAGTCCATAAACATATGACTCTACAATGTAGATAACATTGTAGCGTCATTAAATTTGTAGATCATGATATTTAAAAACCAGATAAAAGTAACAACGCGATCGGACGCAAAAAATAATATAAGAAGTTGAAATAACTAGCAAAAAAATTATTTAAATTTTTTTAATCAAAATATATTTACGCTACAATGCTAAATAATTTATTTAAAATAAAGTTTTATAATATCTATTTTCGGTAGCATTTAGAACCGAAATTCCGGCCGAAACCGAAATCTCAAATCTAGCCGGAACCGAAACAGGAATTTCGATTCCGGCCAAATTTATGACCGGAACCGGAACCGAACCGAATTTCGGTCGATCACTAATATATATATATATATATATATATATATATACATATACATACAAGTATAAATGTATATATATATATATATATATATATATATATATATATATATATATATATATATATATATATATATATTTATTTATTTATTTATATATATTTATTTATTTATTTATATATATATATATATATATATATACATATACATACAAGTATAAATGTATATATATATATATATATATATATATATATATATATATATATATATATATATATATATATATATATATATATATATATATATATATTAACTTTTATTCAAGTTCAATGCTGGGTATAAACTTATTATTGAAATTTTATTTGTGCATTAATGAAACACTGTTTTATTCATGCAAACAAAAAAAAAACACTTTAACTCAATACACAACACTTTAACTCAATACGTTATTGGAACTAAAGTGTTTACTTAAGTACTTTTTCAGGCCATCATTGTATACCAATACCGCACATAACAATATTAAGTTATAACAATATTTAGGAGTTGTGTGCTGACTCTTAATATTTTCGATTTAGAATGTAGTCCCCATTGTGCTTTATAATTTTATTAATTTTTAGCAAGCAATTTACTGTTGCTCATATTAGAAGCCACTGAATGCATTAGGAATAGAATGATGATTAAAGTGATTGAATGCCATCAATCACTTAATCGTGCTGCTTTTTTAAAAGTCACTTAATCGTGCTACTTTTTTAAAAGTTGTTCTGTTTCGTCAAGTTTCTTCTGGTACTATTTGTTTTAAGCTTATTTGAAAAACATTTGTTCTTGGGCATGGCTATAAATATGATATTCTATGTATTTGCACAATAAATTTATACAACATGCAAACTGATTAATCAAATTAAAACTTCTATTATGGATGTAACTCTTTATTTGAAATTAATTTTCATACAATATTTCAAAGTATTATTGATACCCTCGTTGTCAAGTATATAAATATATATAAAAAACCATTAAATACAAAACAAAAGCAAAAACAAATCAATGCAATAGTTTCTTTTCATTTAAATATCGAAACATAGGTTTCCAAAAGGAAGTTGTAACGTAACCTCCATCGTCCTGATTTAGACCGCCGTCTGAAGGTGAGCATTCATGCCGCTGTATTTTAAGGGCTTCCCTCACTTTTCTGTTAAAATTATTAACCTCTACTTTTAAGGTATTTTTATTGTTCCATGTAAAATTGCCATGACAATTTTTTGAATGCTCCGCTATGGCTGAGTAATCCCAATTTCCTTCGTAATGTACTTTTTTGATGTTGGTAAATGCGAGCTGAGATTTTTAATTTTGTTTCACCGATATAACATTTTTTGCAGGAGCATTCAAGTTTGTACACACCTGGGTAAGAATTTATAGAAAGAGGAGGTTTATTTTTTGTGGTAAGTATATGTTGTAAATTTTTTGGAGATTTAAAAACTGGTGTATAACCTGCTTTTTTGAAAGCTTTTTTTAACTTCGGACCAATTCCTGGAATCCACGGTAAAGATACAATATTTTTTGATGCAGTTGATGAATGTTGAGTTTCAATATTTTGTTTTTTATTATGTAAATTTTCTTTAGTGGTTTTTATAATATGTTCCAGGTTTGTTTTATTATAACCATTTTTTACAAAAACATCAACTAGAAATAATAACTCTTGTTCAATATTATTATCAGAGCATAAATATAATGCCCTATGAACAAAACCTTTGAAAAATCCGTTTATAATTTTTGGATCATAACATGAGTTAGGTTTGATTTGGACATTAGTTAAGGCATCTTTACGGTAAACTTTAAAATCGTACGTACCAGTTTTATTGTTAATAATAGTAACATCAAGAAAGTTTAGCGTGTTATTTTCATTTTCGATTTCCATGGTGTACTGAATATTTTTATGTTGGTTATTAAGTAGTATTAAAATTTTTTTCGCATCTTCAATAGAGCTAAAACGAGAATGGGAGTCATCAACATATCTTTTTTTAAAAAAATGTAAACTGATTGTATTATGACTGGTTTTTATAATGCAGTCTTTTTTTGAAATCTGTTTGTATGTATTAAATTATTATTTTACTGTAAATTATACTAAGATTATGGCCAGTATTGTATGTTGATGTAAATTTTAAATTTGATTAAAGTTAATATTTTAAATTATAAATATAAAAAAATAAATATAATACTAATTCAATTATTATTTTTATAGAAATTCCAATCTGTTTGCAGCTGATTCGTTTGAAGATCTTAGTCAGGAAGAGTGCACAGAGTTTCTTCCTACATGTAAATTTAGTTTGTTAAATTTGAATCGAAACATTTTGTTTCAATCAAAAATTTTACTTGATATTATGTTAGATAATATATATATATATATATATATATATATATATATATATATATATATATATATATATATATATATATATATATATATATATATATATAAATATATATATATATATATATATATATATATATATATATATATGTATATATATATATGTATATATATATATGTATATATATATATGTATATATATGTATATATATATATATATATATATATATATATATATATATATATATATATATATATATATATATATATATATATATATATATAATATATATAGTATATAATTATATGCATATAATATATATAGTATATAATTATATGCATATTATATATATACATATATATTATAGTTATATATATATATATATATATATATATATATATATATATATATATATATATATATAATATATATAGTATATAATTATATGCATATTATATATATACATATATATTATACATATATATTATATCAAAAATTTTACTTGATATTATGTTAGATAATATATATATATATATATATATATATATATATATATATATATATATATATATATATATATATATATATATATATATATATATATATATGTATATATATATATGTATATATATATATATGTATATATATATATGTATATATATATATATATATATATATATATATATATATATATATATATATATATATATATAATATATATAGTATATAATTATATGCATATAATATATATAGTATATAATTATATGCATATTATATATATACATATATATTATAGTTATATATATATATATATATATATATATATATATATATATATATATATATATAATATATATATAGTATATAATTATATGCATATTATATATATACATATATATTATAGTTATATATATATATATATATATATATATATATATATATATATATATATATATATATACATATATGTTTATATATATAAAATATATAATTACCGGGATAAACAGATATTCGTTATTGGGCGACATGTTGTTTCCTCCAATTTCTTCATCCATAACTATGCATAGGACTTGGTCAAGAAAATGGTATTGACATCCAATGAATGTGGTTCATCCAGTTTTTTTTCAGTAAAACTTTTATATAACTGACTAACAATACCATTTTTTCTTGTGTTTACATTTGTAGTGTCTGCTTTAATCTTTATACTCTTCCATAAGATATATTTGTTGAGAATAGCTGTTATACCTTTATCAACAGTATCTGCTTTTCTGTCTGGTAGATCTAGTGCTTGTAACATAACTTTTCTTTATTTATTCTTCATTACTAACACCTGATGTTCTTGGTGTCTAATATGTTTACCACCAAAGTGCATTAACCAGCCTTCTAAATGTAGTGTTTTCTTCATTTTTTTACAGCTTCTTTAATAGTTAATCTAAATATATACCAGACTGTGAAGTTGTCTAAATCAAGATTGTCTAAAGTTAATCTTATTTTGAGATAACTGTCGACAAATGGTTGCTACTTTGCTGGTTGATAAATTTGAAGATGTTTCTAGTTTGGTAGCAGTTTTGGTTTTGTTGTAGTTCTTGCTCGTACTTGTTTTTCTGAATCTTCAGATACTTGATATTCTTTCTCAGAATTTGAATCAGAAGTCAAAAGTAAGCTTCAAGGAGATTTTTCTTTTTTTGGATAGATGGATAGTTTTTGAATTAGTAGCCTTCCCAGTTGTATACCTACTTTTCCTTTGTTTTAAATCTGAAGATGATACAATCTGTTAAAATTACGACAGAGCCATTGATCATCTTCTTTTGTGATGTCAGAAAATTCATTCAATGGATTGTATTTTCTTTGTTTTATACGTTTATCGTACATCTTCAGCACTTGATCCAGATTTGCCTATAAAACTTACATCGATAAACGTGGAAAATTTAATTTCTTTTGCCATAAACTTGTTACTTCTTTCTCAATTTGCTTTATGCCTTCTCGTTTACCTCTGATGGATTCTCCCAGGAACAGATAGTGACCAACAATTTTGGATTTTTAGTGGTATCCTGCTTCTAGTGATTGTTCTTTTAATGGAACAGTTCTTCTTTTTCTGTGTGACTCATAAAAGCGTACATAATTCTTCATCCAGATCGTCTTGTTTCTATCTGTAGTGGAAACACTTTTCTTATAGGACATTATGGTTGACAATAATACTTGAATATAGAATATATTTCTGAAAGCCAATAATAATAAATATATATGCTATTGTGCTTCTATATTGTTTGACTGCCATCAGGCAAATACAGTATATTATATATATATATATATATATATATATATATATATATATATATATATATATATATATATATATATATATATATATATATATATATATATATATATATATATATATATACATATATATATACTGTTAAAATAAGTACAGTATATATATATATATATATATATATATATATATATATATATACTATATTTATATACTGTATTTATTTTTACAGTATATATATATATATATATATATATATATATATATATATATATATATATATATATACTGTAAAAATAAATACAGTATATATATATATATATATATATATATATATATATATATATATATATATATATGTATATATATATACACATATATATATATTACGGTAGTGCGATATCACTACTGAACTATTGAAGTATCAAAAAACACTGAACTATTGGTAGTAATGATATTGAAAATGCGATATCAAAAAACTCAATTTCAATATCGAGTGTTTGAAAGTGAAAACATTTTTTCCAATAATGAAAATTGTTCCGAAGTCCCTTTTGCCACTACCAAACTCTTTATCAAAAAAAATTAAAAATATTTTTTCCTAAATTAAAATACTTCAGAGCATAATAATTTTAGCTGAACATTTGACATTTTAATATAATTAAATTTTGTAAATTTAATTTAAAATAATTCCCCATTAAAATTTTTATTAAAATTGAATTATACAATACAATCTCTCTAATCCGAATCTCCTTACTTCGAAAATCTCTATATACTTCGATTAAATGCAAAGTCACCATGAAAAGCTCTTAAGAAAAAATCAACTTTCTATAATTCGAAAACCTCTTTAATTCAAACTTTTAACTTTCCCCATAAAATTCGAATTAGAGAAATTCTACTGTATTAAGTAAATTTCATAAAATAATTAATTTTCAATTATTTTTATGGTTTAATTTTTTTGTTGCAGAGGTTATTTCTTTTAAAAATAAAATTTATAGATCTGTCTAAAATTGTGACAAAAACATTGTTTTATTGTTTTGAAGAAAGTGGCATCTTAAGAGTTGATAATGCCAAAAGCAAGTCCTTTTTGAGAATTCTTTCAAAAAGATTTTCACGGCAAAGATGTTGCTCAATGCAAACAGTGCCCATCAAAAATAAGCACCAAGCTAGGTACTAAAGTTTCATCTTTGAGGACTAAAGTTTCATTTTTGAGACTCCCACAAAGACATTTTTAACACTATTGAAAATGACAGAAAAAAGCGATTATCTGAAACTACAACTGAAGCATTGGCAATGGAGACAATTGGTAAAGCTGCGGATAAAAATGTAAGTCAAGCCCAGATTGTTGAAGAAGCTAAAAAAATGAAAAAGGACATTTCTTATTGCAAAGAAAAAACAAAATTTTCCTCAAATGATAAGCGACAGCTCATAGCAGACTTAGAAATCATAAAATGCTTGTGTGTGTCAAATTTACCATTTTTACTTGTTGCTTCTGATAAGTTCAAAGATATTATGGGTTTCACAATACCTGAAGTTAATCTCAAAGCACCTTCCACATATTCAAGGAGCATCTTATACCAAAATATCAGGCAATTTTGATTATTATGAACAAGGATTTTGCAAATGTTGATGCTGTTGGTTTCACAATGGATCTGTGGTCAAGTAGAAGCAATGATGCATTTGTTGCTTTAACTTTGCACTACATAAACTTTAACTATGAGCTTAAGTACTTTTTTCTTGGATGTGTTGCATTCCCTGAGCAACACACTGGAGATAATATTGCTCTCAAAACAGACACAATCATCAGTGGAATACCTTTTAAGCCAGACTGCAAAATGGTGTGTGTCTCTGATAGTGCTGCTAACATGTTGTCAGCAATGAAGAAATTATCAATGATCAATAAAAATACTACTAGTACTGCACATATTCTCCACTTGGTAATAACACAAGGTGTCAGTTCTGTAGAGGAAGTTAATGAGACGTTCCAAACTTGCAAAAAGCTTGCTTCAAGAACACACTAGTCAATTGCTAGTCAAAGAAGAATCTTTGATGCTAGCAGAGAAGAAAAAATCAACTTTAAAAAAATCATCACACCATGCAAGACTAGATGGAATAGTGGGTTTATATGCATGATCTCTATTTTACATCTCAAACCAGCATTAGAAGCTATTACAAATAGCAACTTAAAAGCTGATGACATTTTAAGATCGCTTATCCCTACGCAAGAGCATTTTAAAGTGATTCAAAAAATTAGTGACTTCACAGATGTTGTGTCTTCAGAAAAGTATCCTACAGCTCATCTAATTATTCCTGGCTTGTTTGATATTCAAGAAAAAATTAAACTATTAGTTTTACCAAGCGATACCATCACAATTAATTTATTGTCCAAACTACTATCAAATCTCAGCAAAAGGTTTCCAGAGTGTGCCTCAGGTTTGAGCAACAATGCATTAGTTTATTTCCTTGACCCCAAATTTAAAGGTCACTTACTACCAAGGTTTGGAAGAGAGAGTCTTACTATTTCACAGTTGAAAAGATGTGCTTGTTGTAAGATGAGCAACAAGACCTTTCCCCAGCTGAGGCACTCCTTCAAGAGATGATGAGCCACAACAACCAGGAATTATCTTTTAAAAGTGAAATGGAAGGGTACAAACAACTAGGCTTTCCACCAA